TCTTGGAATGGACACTAAAAGATTCACAAAGCACTTTTCTAAGCTCAAAATGGTCTCACACGAGTTCTATGGAGTATAAGGGCGTTCTTAGGCAGTGGAGGCTCTCTAGGGCTAAGTCCAAGGGACTTAAGGTTGCTTAAATAGGTCTCATGTCCAATAATTAGGGTTTTGGGACCCTTAGCACGCATGCCCGACGTACGGCTTGGTACGCCCAGCATACCCCTAGATCCTCCCCGACCAACCAAGTGTAGTATGCTAAGCGTACACTTAAGTACGCCCAACGTACTTAAGGGACCACTTATGCTAAAAAATGTAATTCTTGGGAGTCTCGAGACATACCAGATTTTGGGTGTTAGAGCCATAAAGTTGGAACCTTTATTCCATGGGAACCCTCAATGGTTCAAGATCTGAAGTTATACCCCCTTAGAACCACAAAATCCCGAAAACGGCTCTACTAAATCTTATAAAAGGTAGAAACTTGCCCCGACTAGAGATCTAAGAGATAAATGGTCGAGGTTGAAGCTTTTTACCTTAAGCAATCTGGAAATGTGCCAAAACTTCTGGATCAACTTGCCTTCTCTTGATCTCCCAATCCTTCTCTTTCTTCTCAAGCTTCTAACACACACAAAATGGTACAAAGAGCTCAAGAACACTCAAAATCGATTATGGTTTCGCGAGGACAGTCTGAGGATGTTGGAGGCTGTAAGGAAGCCAGTTAAGGTGTTCAAATATAGTGCAACCCCTTAAAATTAGGGTTTCATCCAGACAATCCTATTCGTCGAGTCATGGCATTCGACTCGGCGAGTAGGTCCTTCCACCTGCATCCAAGTTTCACCTTGACTCGAAGAGTTGGCATCTCCAACTCGCCGAGTCCCAAAGTAAAAATATAAAAATTCATATTTAAAGTACATACCAGGAACCGGGCACTACAATTGCGTGGTTTTCTTTTTTCCTTGGATCTTTTGATTTTTTTTGCCTTCTACGACTTGGTTGTGTTTCTTCAACCCATTTATCGTCATCGTCATTTTCGAGGTTTACAAGTTGAGATTGAGATAATGGAACTTAAGATGGTTGTGAAGTTTGTTGACGTTGGGAAGTTTGGGGTTGAAATTGCAGAGACGGTTGTTGAAAGGCTTGAAATTGGGGTTAAATGAATTGTGGTGGTTGTTGTTGTTGGTGGTGGTGGTGGTAGTGTGGGTGGTATGAAAGATTGGTGAATAAAGGTTGTTATTGAATGGGGGATGATAACAATTGCATGTAGGCAAGATTCGCTAACGGATCATTTGGACTGTTTGGAGTCTTCAGGGTGGGTAGGGTATTTTGGTTTGGATCTATGAGGAAGGAATATTTTTTGGTGATTATATGTGTTTGTGTTGAAAATATGTTGTTTGTTTGAAATGAAAAAAAAAAGATTGATATATAGAGAGATAATGTGTGGTAATTAATTTATATATATATATATATATATATATATATATATATATATATATAAGGAATCCATTTCTTAAGAACAATGAACTTCCTAAGAAGTTGGCAGAAATAGCCCCCTATTTATAGGTTTGTTCGCAATTCTGGCTTGGTTTTTGTAGGGGGGGGGGCATTTTATGTCATTATATATATTGTTTGAACACGTGTTGTTAACCTTTGGATTTTTGTTACTATATTTGATGTTTATCTTACCGAATCCAGATACCCACCGCCTTCCTCTTACCCCTTCATCTTGATCGTCCTAACCTCTTATCGATTCTTCCACCGCCATATGACCTCCTCCTTGAAGTCACTAAAGGACAGAGGCGTATTACCGGTGGCGATGGTGAAGAGGCGTTATCGAGGTTAACTTCTGCTCCAACGCATTATTCCTCCATCAAATCCACCTCTGATTCCTCCGTCCACCGCTTTTCGTTACACACATACAAATGATGTTCATATATCGACTTTCGCTTCTAATATCTTGTCAAATGTTCTAATCTTTCATCGATTTCCCTTCCTACGTTTCATCCACAATTTTCTAGCATCTGGAATCAGTCGAACACCATTTTCTAACATCTGGAATTAGACCATCATTGGTTGTTTGTTTCATTTGCATGTTTCCCACTTCCAACGTCTTCCTCCCGCTCTGCCCCTCCACCAACGATAACCACCTACACTGTCGCCCTCTGTCAACATCTCCCTTAGTAAGTTTCTGTTCTGGTTAGTTGATATTGTTTTTTTAACTTTGCTTTGATTAGGGATTTTCAGAATTATAAATACATGGTTGTCTATAAAGTTTCACTGTTTTCGCTGTTCTTCACGTTGATTGGCATCAATTGGGATTTTAATGGTAACACAAAAAATCTTTACTTGTGTTTTGTTTGCATATCCGCTCTAATTTATTAATTTGTATCTAATATTTGAATTCTAAATTTGTGAAATCTGTATCCAGTTTGTGAATTTCATCAAACGAGAGTGGAGAAAATGGTGGAGCTCCAACGGATTACCACCCTGCAAAGTCACCTGGGAACTTTGAATATCACTTGTATTTAAATTTTTTGTTGGTTATAATGGTTGTTTCGGTAGGGGAAAAATGACATGGCTATTGATGACTTCAGTGGAAAAGTGTAATTGGGTTTTTTTGGCAGGTAAGGTTCAGAGAATGGGAATCGGAATTCAAGACAAGGGATTAGAATACAAGGAGAGCTCATTCCATTCCATACAGATAATTTGATTCGGAGCATTCAAGTTTGGTGAAAAGATGGAAATTCGGGAAATTTAGAGTGCAAAAAGTAAGAGAGTTCAATATATTAATTTATTTGAGTTTAAATTGGTTTGAACTTTGAAGGTTGTATAGAGCGTACCAGAGACTTTATACTTCCATGCATGATAAATGAGTGGGCCCACAACAGTAAAAATATTGCATTTTGAGGTGATAGATCATTGAAGTTTTAAAGTTTTTATTTATTATGAGTTGAACCTCACCCGTAGCTTACTCATTATTTTACTTTTCAGATCATACATCATTGAAGTTTGGAGGCAATGTAGCTTCAAATTTCTTACATTTAAGTTCATATTTTGTTCATTTGACGAAAAGGCAATTTATGTAAAAAAAAAAAGCTTTGGTTTGGTGGATTTCAGGCGAGTTGTAATGATCGAGATTTTCCAGGTAATTATGTTGCTACTTATTCAAGTTATATTATGCATATATTTGGATTTTGAGGGTTGGGGTGTACGCACAGCGTATGCAAATGAGGCGCGGAGCGGGAAGTCCCCATACGTACGTTGGGCATACCCATGCGTACGTTGAGCGTAGGATGGTCAGATGTAAACCCTCAAGTTTAGGGTTTGCACCCTATTTAATCATCTTATATCCCTCCAAACCCTTATCCTCTCAGCCTCCAGTGTCCCCAAAGTGTCCAACTTGAACCCTAACCCCTTGCATGTATCTTGAGCTTACTTTGAGCATTTTGGTGTTATTTGAATAAGAAAGTGCTTGAAGAAGGAGCAAGAACTTGGAGAAGGCTTCTAGATCCAGAAGATTGACATCATTTGTTACCCATTTGAGGTATAAAGCTTTAAACTTGATCATTGCATGCTTAGATTTAGTTTTGGAGTGTTTTATGTCTCATTTTGGTCCCATGCTTGAGGTCCTTCGAGTTTTAGAAGATTCTAACCAAATGAGTTGTCCTTTTTGGCTCTTGGAGGTGTTTAGAACCATAAAAATCGGATCGTGATGGTTTAGCCTCAATCATGCAAGTGTTAGATGACCACTAAGTGAACTTATGGACTTAATATGTGTCTTAATCCCCATCCATGAATGCAAAAGCATAAAGTTCGTAACTTTATAGTTTAGGACATTGTTAGGGGACTAGATCTACGATGGATGTTCGAACTTAATGGATTAAGTCAAAAGAAAGAACTTAGGGTGGTTGGCAGGAACGTTGGGCGTACCCCCTGGTACGTTGTGCGTACCAGGTCAGCTTCCCGCCTCTGGTCAAGGTCAAAGTACGTCGGGCGTACTTGCTATGTATGCCGCGCGTACTCATACAGTGGGCTGTTTTTGGGCCATGAGTGTTGGGTTTAGAATTGGTGGGCCTCAAACCCACTTGTAGACTGAAACCCTTGGGCCTGGGATTAGGATTATTGTATTGGGCCTCAAAGCCTAATTATTTGGACTTGGGCATTTTATTATAAATGTTGGGCGTTGGGAGGAAAAGGCCTAATAGGAAAAAGACTAGGGAACCTTTTCCCTATGTGGTGGAATTATGCCTTTGGGGTTATATTTGGATCCAATAGCTAATTAGGAAGTTGTTGTGCTTTAGGGAGAGAAGCCCTAAGTCATCTGTGGAGTACGATACGACATTCATAGTTGAGGTGAGTCTCCCTTTGTAAAATATGTGGGTCGAAGGCACCAAGGCCAGCCCACTAGTATTGATATAGCTTAATAATCGTCTTTATGATAATTATTAAGGTGACATGTAATGTTAATGTTTATGTAAGATATGCATGATTTTATATGGTAGTGGAAGGGGTGAAATAGACCCCGTAATCGTTGGGAATAAGATTGAAGGGTAGGTCGAGCACCCAGATATGCCTGATAAGGGTAGGTCGGGCACCCAGATATGCCTAGCAAGGTAAGTTGAGCACCCAGATATGCTCAGCATGGTAGGTCAGGCACCCAATTATGTCTGAAAGTATGTCATGTTGTATATGGTATGGTGTGGGAAACTCAATAAGCTTTATGCTTACCACTTTAGTTTGTGTTTCAGGTACCTCCAGCTCGAAAGGGAAAGGGTCGGCTTGATTGCATCACATCACAATATGATTTCCGTATTTAAGATTTTGGGATTTAACTATGATGATGACTTTCTATGTATTGTCTTGATTGAACTAAAACTATTTCGTGTCCTCATAGTTTTGAAAACATTGTTGTTCTTATCATGTTTTGATAAAATAAAAATGAAATTTTTTGATCGTAATTTTGGGGATGTTACACGAGTAAGCTTTATGAGCTTCATATTTACACAATGGGAAACAAACTATATGCTATAGAAAAAGTGCTTGATCCAAAAGGAGTTTTGTTTAATGGGAGAGTTCTCTTGAGGGGTGATGATGGGGATAGTGATGGAGATCCCAAGAGAAAGGATTTGGAAGGGATTTTGGGTATAGAATCATTTGTTGTAATCATATATGATTCCATAAGAATATGACCTCATAACAAGCTTAACTTAATAGTTGTAGAAATGTATAATACCATACAATACAAGACAAACCAGACCCTTGAGTTCAAAGTTTATATATGTTTATTGTTTACATTTCAAATACATATATTTTCCATGTACTAGGCGACAATTTGGGCTTCCGGGGCCTTCCCTTCTTGAGATTGATCATGATGACAGACGAGATGAAGGGACTTTGGCCTCTTCATTGGCGATAAGCACCTACAGCTTTGATCCATTTGGTGTTATTGCATCATATCATATTCGTATGTTGATAATTATTGATTGAAATGCATGATGAAGATTATTGAGAAAATTCATGAGAATTTTTTTCATGCAAGAATGTTTAGATGATGCTGGTGTACATAATATATTAGCATCGGAACAGTGGAAGATATTAGGTGGGTGTCTCACCAACCGACACCTGCTTTTACTATATTTACACCATCTCCACTACTGATGGCTATCAAATTCACAAAAGTTTTTCATCTGTTGAGATTTGAAGCCTCTCATAACCATTGTCATGAAGTAATTTACCAAGGTTTGACCTTTTCCGCCATTCCTATTTGTAATAAATTTACATTTCCATTTCATTAATTTATTACAATTTTTTATAAACCAAAATACATTTGGCCTAATCATATGGTGAGATGGTTGTTGTGTGTGTTTGTATGTGTATGAGTGGTTGGTATGTCTGTGTTTATCTGTGTCCAGTAGTTGTTGTGTGTGTTAAGTTGCAACCAAGTAAGGATTTTTTTTATGTAGGTGGCATATTGTGTTCTAGTGACTACAACCATCTGTAAGGAAGTAAAGTGGCTTCGCTTGGTGTCACCTCTCTCTACAGTGGAAATCAGAGCCTCCCCAATCAAACCGGGTATGCCTTTCTACTTTATGAGTTTTTTTTGGTGATTTACGCTACAGTGCTATGAAGTATGAGGAAAATGATTGAAAAGGAATATTAATTGGCAGAAATTGCATAATCATAATGCAAGAAAAAACCCTTCGAAAGCAGACAAACCGAACGGTTGTTGCTGTACACAGGTAATCGTTGGTTTAGATTCAAACTAGTGATTTCAATTCATATGGTGGTAAATCCATATTACAGTTCCAGTTATGGGAATTTGGCAAAGAGTAAAATTCGAAAACCACCACACTATAAGGTTTTTATTGCATAATTGTCCTCAAATTCTTAAAGGTAGCAAGTTATTTTCTTCTAAAGCTATAAAATTCTTACAGGTATGGTAACTATGGTCATTTTCGACCCGATGCTAATGATCCATAGTTATTTATCATTATAGTTAAAGCCTATTGGTAAGCTTTTCTGCTTATAGCATCTTACACGCTCAATCACAAAATTTTCTTTTATCGACATAAACTCATAGTTATGTTCAATTCGAATATATGTTTCAGGGAATGACATATCCAAGAAACACACACAAACCAAAAGTACCATGAGAAGAGAAAAAACAAGCCAGAAAGAAAGGATAACAAAGGAAAAGTGAGAAAAAGAGGCTAAAATATTGATTTTTAGCTGCCATTGGTCAATTTTCCAGTACATGACACTTAACTGCCAAGTATATTTTCTTTCTTTTGATGAGGCTAAATTATAGTAACAACAACTGGTCCATAATTAAAGCAGTGGATACAAAAAACAATTTCCTTTTTTAACAATTAGGGGTTTTTAAATAAAACTTTCACACCTTTGATAATCAAACTAGATATGGCTTCAAAAGGATTTTAGAATAAATTCAGGTTAAGATTAATATGTATTGGGACTTGAACTATAGTCACGTCAAAACTTGATGTTTGCTTTTAATTTATACTCTGTTTTAATGGTTTAATGTGTTCTTGCTTATTGTTTTTGCAACATGATTTATGGAAATGGTTTTCCTGTTAGGGCAAATGTATTTTCAATGACACCATTTATGTTAAATCTTAATTCTTTTTAACGAATTTTCCTGGCATTTAAATATAATTTCCATTATTTTTGGCCTAATGAATCGTTTTTGCATTAAATTTTGGTATGTGTTTACGTTAACCAGTGTCTTTATAATTATTGTATAAAATATAGAGTTTGTTTATTACTATATATATGAACATACAGATAGTTGCTTGAGTCATGATCTTGATTATTTGTTTTCGAGATAGCATGAATGAATGAAGAATTATCATTTTATCGACCCCTAGGGTTAAAGAGAGGTAGCATAAGAGGGCGGTCATGAATTTTCTCACAAGGGTAGATGGGTGTTGGATCGACTAGAGAACAAAAAGGTTGTGGGGTTACATGCACATTATTAATGGTTTTATTTTAAGGGACTATGTTTTCATTACTATTTGTGTATAATATATCGTTGATATGGTATGAGAGAGTTTTAAATTTGGTTTCCGGTTTCTTTTGAAAAGAAATTGAGTTTCGTTTACCAAATTTTGTTGGTTTTGTTTGTAATAAGAACATGAGCTTACTCCGAGGTCGATAGAAACGTGGTAATCAAGCTAATGAATACTAAACGCAATACCATTTAACTATAACAAAAAAATAACATTGCAGGTTTCGACCCTCCCAAAGCAGGGGACACTTCTCTAGTTAATTAATTAATTTCTTTTTTTTAATGCATAAATGGTCATAGCAACGTTTAAATTAGGAATAACCAATCACATCGATCGTCCTCTCTCGTCTACGTGAAGACGCCACACACAACCCACCAAGGTCGGGGTGGTGTTCACGTGTCTTGGAGGCTAACAAGGCTGACACGTCAGCCTCCATGCGTTTTCCACCAACCCACTCCAAGTAGCCTTACGATGCCAATAACGTCATATTGATGTCCATAATAATCAACTTGTGTTTCATAGAGTGTATATAAAGGAATCAATGAAAAATGCAATAAATTTACGTACTTGGTTGCTTACGATGTTAGATGGCCCATTTGTGTAAGACCGTTTTTCGACAAGAAATCGATTGTAGGAGTAGTAGATTGGTATGTCGGCGGTGGAAGTTAACTCGTGGCAAAAATCACATTTATGTGGGTTATGTATGGTTTTACCCGCAACAATCTATATCCGCATCATTATCAATTTTAAAAAAACAAAATTTGTAAAAAATGTCATTTTCAATCTATATGATAATATGACATTTTCATTAATTTAATTATCATCTTATAACGAATGAGATAACAAACGGACAACAAATTGTGCTGTTACGTTTTTTTATATGGTAAAACTAATTTTTTTAAAACTAAATCAATAAATCCATAAGATATAACATTGATATATATATGATTCGTTGTACTCTGTTAAAAAATCTTTCGAGAGACAAAAAAAAAAAAAAAAAAAAAAAAAAAAAAAAAGTAAAAGTTTTTGGAGACGGTTTAATCTTAAATCGAACGGCAAAAATTTTAAATTTAAATGATAGCTTTCCATGGAGAGACAAAAAAAAAAAAAAAAAAAAAAAAAAAAGTAAAAGTTTTTGGAGACGGTTTAATCTTAAATCGAACGGCAAAAATTTTAAATTTAAATGATAGCTTTCCATGGAAACCACACAATTCAGTTTCTTTTCGTTTTTCTAAGAAAAGGCAATCGAAACAAATGGGTGGAGCCCACGAAAGCGGCGATACAACCGTTGGCCACAGCTGTTGGGCAACCCCACATAAACACCCTGTCAACAGTCGGGCAGTTCGGTCAGCTCATGCCACTAAAGTGTCCCCTCCCCTTTCACACACTCCTATATATATTAACCCCCATCACCTCCACCACAACCACCACTTTCAAGTCTCAACACCCTGCAATTAACCAAACTAATCTGTTCTTACATTCCGCTTGAATTTCAAATTCAAACTAAAGCATCAATGGATTCAATGAAAATGAAGCTCTTCGCCGCCGTTGTTGTTATGTTGATGGCCGTATCTGCCGTCAGTAATGTGGCAGCTCAAGAAGCTCCCGCCCCGGCACCGGGTCCCGCTTCCGCCGCCAGCGTTTACGTTCCGGCCGCTATTATTTCTCTTATTTCTCTTTCCTTCGGTCTCTTATTCTAAATCGATTTCATCCATTTCTTGATATGGAGAAATTATTTTTGTTTTGTATTGAGATGATTTGTTCTGCTTTTATCCACATTTGTTCTTGAAATTTTTTATGTGAATTCATTCTTTTGTTGAATGTATGTAGTGTTTCATAAAATTCGTTTGTGATGATGATGATGATGTCCAGATCCTTAATTCTCGTTTTTCGATCCAAATTTTCATTTTTTCAAATTGATTATTGATTAATGGAGATAAAGAGTATATATAATTGCTTCCCCATTGTCTTAAATCTTGATGTTTGCTGAATTTCTGTTTTCTGATTGTAGATTTATATTGTGAGCGTTTCGGTTTTGATTTGAATACATTGTAATAACTTTAATTTCATAAAATTCGGTCATGAATTTGAATGAGAATTTGTGATTTTGTATTCATCCATACAATTGTGAATGTGTGAATGAGGCGCATACTGAAAGTAAGATATTATGTTGTCTGCCACATGCCTTTTCTGATTGTGTAACAGTTGGAAAGGGCCACGCCTTTGGTCGCATTATTGTTTCAATGTATATGAACAAAAACCTTTATATATATATATATATATATATATATATATATATATATATATATATATATATATATATATATATATATATATATATATATATATATATATATATATATATATATATATATATGGGTAAATTACACCAATCGTCCCTCGTGCACATGCCAGAAAGCGTGTTTAGTCCCTATTTTTAAAAATTAACTCGGACCATCCCTCGTTTGGTTAAAAGTTGCATGCTTCATCCCTCGTTAGTTTAAAATTGCATGTTGCATCCTTTACCATACATAAAATTACTATATTACCCTTATTATTTTCTTTTTAATTTAATTATGAATTATTTTGTAGTTTAAAAAAATAAAAAAAATAAATTTCATTTCTATCCCACCCAACCTTCCGTTATCAGCTCACAAATTAATCACTAAGACCACCATTCCTTTCCACCACCGCCGGAGCATCGACCACCACCATCGCCGGAGCAACGATCACCACCATCACCAGAGAACTGTCCAATAGCATCGTTGGAGTACCACTCACCACCATTTTTGTCGTTCAAAACCACTGCATCTCTCTCCTTACCTTCCTTCTTCTCCAATCAGATACACATTCTTCTTTCTCATCCCGGATCTAAGATCTCCGATGAGGATGGTTTCAAACCGTTGAGTAGGATATCGAGGATGGTTTCAAACTACGAAGATATGATAAAAACAATGAAGACCTGATGGAATCAGTGAAACCACCATTGGGAGTCTTGAGAGAAGGTAAAGGGTTGCGATCCTCGTTCTAAAGATTTGGGTCATTCCAATCTATTATGTTTCTCTAGCGAAATCACAGTCGCAGGTCATTTAGATCGATTCTTTTTCTCCAGTGAAACCATCACCGATTCTGGAATCTGGTGCTCGTCTTCTTCACCTGTGCATCATCATCGTTCTCCATCAGCTAGGGTTTCGAGATCGATGAAGAAGTCGTTGACGCATATAAAGATCAGAGAAGAAGGTAGGTGCAAGGTTCAGATTGAGGAAAAAGTCATCGAAATATGTTCAAATTGATATCCTTCTTCAGAAGCATTCATATCGATTTCCATCTAGGGTTTCAGATCGAGGAAGAAGGCATGTGTAAGGTTTTCAGATTATGGTTTGGTTATAAGAGGTGTTGGCAGTGATAGATAGTGGTACCGGAGGTGTTGGCGGTGATAGGTGGTAGGGGATTATTTGTGAAAATTTTGGAGCTTGGGAAATGGAAGGGGAGGGGTGGGCATATTTTTTTTATTTTATTTTTTCTTTTTTAATATAAAAATGATAAAGAAATAAAAGAAAATGAAAAAGAAATTATTAAGGGTAAAATAGTCATTTCATGTCAATAGGGACTAAGTGTGCAAGAAAAAACAAACACAGGGACGACCCGAGTTAATTTTTGAAAATAGGGACTAAACGTGCATTTTGACATATGCACGAGGGACGAATGGTGTAATTCACCCTATATATATATATATATATATATATATATATATATATATATATATATATATATATATATATATATAGGTTCAGGTTCATTTGAAACCATTTTAATTTTGTGAGACCGTAAGACCAAATCTAAAAATAATTTTAAAATGCAAAATAAATTGAAAAATCCAAAAATTCTTTTTTTAAGTATTATTTTCGGAACTTGAATTAACTAAAAAATAAAATAAAAAAAATAAAAAGAAATAAATAAATAAATAAATAAAAATTCCGTTTTTTTTGAAAAATACGTGAAATATTCTAATAGAATATTACACTAACATATTCTAAAAAATTATTTTAAAATGCAAAATAAATGGAAAAATCTAAAAATTCTTTTTTTTAAATATTATTTCGGAACTTGAATTAACTAAAAGAAATAAAAAAAAAATTATTTTTTTTGAAAAATATGTGAAATATTCTAATAGAATATTACACTGTACATATTCTAAAAATAATTTTAAAATGCAAAATAAATGGAAAAATCCAAAAAAAAAAAAATTAAATATTATTTTCGGAACTTGAATTAACTAAAAAAAA